GGATCCTGAGCGCTCCCCGAGGGCCCCAAGATTGCCCCAGGAGGGTTCCAAGAGAACCCCCAGAGCGGTCACGCAAGCTGTCTCGCGAGGCTGGTGCTGCTGTTGGTGGTGCTGCTGGTGCTGCTGCTGGTACCGGAGCCCGGGCGGAGGCACCCTCGCAGATTCTCCTTTTTTTTTCTGGCACACGACATGACTGACCCTTTCTGGGGGGGCCTCCCGGTCCTCCTGGGGCTTCTCCCCGCCGCTCAAAACTGCTCTGGAGGCCACCAAAATTCGACCAGACCAGCGTGACAGGTCCGACGACGCCCGAGTAATTGTTTCAAGACGGGTCAAGGGGCCCCGAAGATGTCCTGAGAAGGCTCCAGGATGCGCCCCGAAACGGCCCCAAGAGGCCAACATTGATCCATTCCCGAGGGAAACGAACATTTTAAACATATTCGCACTTTGGGTCTTAACAGCGTCCAAAACGGCCCAGGGGCCGTACAGATCGCCCCAAGACGGCCCAAGAGGCCTCCAAGAGGGCCCCAGAATGGCCCAAGAGAGCCCCAGGAAGGTCCAAGAGGCGCCCAAGACGGTCCAAGACAGTCCCAAGAGGAGTCCAAGAGGGGGAACTCCAATTGACGTTTCGAGCCCTCTGCCACCAGTGGGCCCCCTAGGCTGTAGCAAGGCCCCAAGGGCCCCATAGGAGGCTCCAAGAGGTCCCCACAGGGTTCATATGAGGCCACAAGAAGCTTCAAAACTCTCTCCACGAGGCGCCCGAGGGGCATGCCAAGGGACTTCGAATTACAGGCATCCAAGAATCCTCTGGCCCCAAACTCGGGCAGAGTAGCGGTTCAGGTCGAAGGCCACAGATAAGCAACCACTCGGCTTGGCGACGGACCCATCCCTATGCAGTCATGTGCAGTACAGGGCGTGGGTCTCTTTTTATACACTGCGCGCCGCGGGGCAATGCGGAAAGATGGCTGCCGCGGGGCACGCGTGCACAGGTGCGCTGAACTCGTTGTGGGGCACGATCCGCGTGAAGGGCCGCGCGAACACGCCCACTGAGGCCGCAGGTGGACCTTCTCTGTGCACGCCCCGTGCGAGGCATGTTCCGAAGTGGGCGCGGGGACGCCATACGAAGCTGCCCATTGGTGCCACAGGTGGAGCTCCTTGGGCACGATGAGCGGGGAGGGCTTGGTACGAACCTCGTCTCTGGGCCTCTGGGTGGTGCTCCTTGTGGGCGCGATCCTCGTGATGGGGCGTGCCGTGATGGCCAGGGGGGGGGATGCAGTGCGAACCCTGCTTCTGGGGCCGTCCGTGGGTGGAGATCCCTGTGGGCCACGATCCGCGTGAGAGGTTCACCACCCACCAAACCACCCCAACCCAACCCGAAGGCCCAAATTTATCCTCGATTTCCAGTGGGGGGGGGTCGGGGAACGTTGAAAAAACACATGGTATCCGTACCCCCCCCAACCCGAAATTCGGGTCAAATTCGGGTCTTCGGGTTGGGTTGGGGTGGTCTGGTAGGTAGTCAGAGGTGTGCCGAAGTAGGCGGGAGGGCGGGATGCGAACCTTGCCTCTGTGGACGTCCTTGGAACTCCAGGGCCACGATCCGTGTGAGAGGCGTACCGACGTGAGCGGGGCGATGCGGTGAAGCTCCCTTTTCTGGTATTGCAAATGCATTCACTTACGGGGCACGATCCGCGTGAGGGGCTTGCCACGATCTGTGTGGGGGGCTTGCCACTATGCGAACCTCGTCTCTGGGGACGTAGGTGGATCTCCCTGTGGGGCGCGATCCCTGTGAGGGGTGTGCCCGCATGGGCGGGGGGACCCAGGTGGAGCTTCCTAAGGTGCACGATGCGTGTGACAATCTATGTCTTACGATGCCGAACACTTTAGACTACAGCTAGAGCTTGCTAGAACCTAAGCGCGCGCGAAGTGCGCGCGTGGTTCTAATTGTATATCCCACGGGGCAGCCACGGAACAACCCACTGGACAAACACTGGACAACCACGGGACAAGCACGGGTCAACCCACGAGACAACCATTGGACAACCATGGTGGGGCAACCATGGAACAACCACGGGACAACCCACAGGACAACCACGAAACAACCCACGGGGCAGCCACTTGGAATCCATGGGACAACCACGGGACAACCAACGGGACAACCCAGTGGACAACCACGGTACAACCATGGGGCAACCTCGGGGCAATCACGGGACAACCATGGGACAGCCACGGGGCAGTCCCAGGGCAACCCTCGGACAATTTCGGCAAGCCACCCTAGACAGGATGATAACATTTTTTCCGACGTGATCATCGCTGCGGCCGAACCCGTTTCCTCGATTGGGGTGATCTCGTTCCCGCCCGCATCTTCCAATTTGATAGGTGACGTACAGATGACTCAGAGTATATGGTTAGGTAGTCTGTAGATCGAGGTATAGCTGTGCATACATACGCACATCTATATATGAGCATGTATAAACCATACATGTATATATGCATACCATCTTGCTCGCTCGTAGGATCGAAAAGGCGAGCGTGCAACATTCATGCAATGACCACTCGATTTCCCAATGCTTTTGACTTCTTGGGCTGGCCCCCAGGGCCTCCAAGACGACCCGATCTACTCCCAAGAAAGCTCCAGGACGGCCCCATGGGACCATCTGGGGGCATGCTGGAAGTTTAGATCTGGCACCGCGCTCCTGGAGAATCTGCCAAACTCACGCGGCGATTTGTGGCATCGCCAAGACGCGCCAGATAATTCTGGGAGCCTGAGCCTGTGGCCGTTTAATACAATTTCCAGTCTCGTGGCCTTTGGCCCCAAACGCCACCGTGCCTGGATTGTGCGCCAGAGGCCTCTTAGCTACCTCTTGTGGTCTCTTGGGAGGCCCCTCTGGGGCCTCTTGGGAGCCGCCTGGGGACCTCTTGAGAGCATCCGCCCCTGGCGGTCTCGAAAGCCATCCTGGGGCCCAGGGCTCCAAAGGACACTTCGTGACTGGCCCTGAGAAAATCTCAAACCATGCTGGAACTGTGCACCCCAGGCCACGTTCCCTGGGCCTTTAGAAAAGTCACTGGACCCGCCCCGAGAGCTCCCAGAAGCGTCCGGGCCCCAGACCGCTCAAAGATAGTTTCCATTTGCAATGCAGAGCACTCGAAGGGACTTGAGCACGCTCCACTCAGTGCATACGGCACGGTGGCGGATTTCCAATACAGAGAACTCGACGGGACCTGAGGGCTCTTCCCTTAGCGCCCAGCGGCACGTTGACGGATAGGACACCAGCGATGGATAGTAACCATATGGCGCCGCAGGGCACCATCACTAGGGCACCTGCCTTAGGACCCCGGCGAGCACTAGCCATAGGACATTGTCCATGTGGCACCATCGAGCGTCAACCGTCCTGCTTCAATCATATGGAGCCAGAGGACGCCACAGGGCACCAATCACAGGGCCCCAACCACAGTGCGCCATAGGGTGCCATCAATCGGGTACCAAGCATACGGCACCAACCGTTGGGCAAATCAGGGCACCGCAGAGCACCAACCGTGGGGCACCAGCCACAGTGCACCGTGTGGTACCAGCTGTGGGGCACCAGCCGGAGTGCACCATAGGACACCAGCCGTCGGGCACCGACCGCCGGGCACCAGACATAGGGCACCAACCATGGGGCACCAGCCATATGTGACCAACCATAGGGCACCAACCCTGGGGCACCAACCGCTGGGCACCAACCACAGGGCACCAGCCATAGGGCACCAGCCATAGGACACCAACTACACGTGTACCAACCGAAGGCGACTACAGGGTGCCAACCATACGGCGCCAACTGTAGGGTACCAACCATAAAGCACCAACCATAGGGCAGCATACCATCCTCAGGACACGGAACCATAGGGCACCAGCCATGCGGTACCAGCACGATAACGGCCAACTGCAGTATTTTGGGCGAGTTCCTCACATGCCAAGGAGCGAAGAACCCCTGAGTGCAAACAGTGCTTGTCATATGGATTTGCTTAGAGATGTTCGCACAGGGGAGGCGCACCAAGACAAAGGATTTGCTTCGTGAGGGTACCTGTGGTTCCTTCGCTCCACGCGCTGCTGGGTGGCATTTCGCCGCCGTCAAAGACGCTGCTGCATCGGAGGTGCTCTGGCTTTCCCCTCCATTGCACCTCGCGTGCGGATTTTCAGGGTTGGGTGTCTTGCGAGGGTTTCCTGCGGCCGCGCCCGCACTGCACAGTTGTGTGCACGGACAACAACAGCTCGATGCGCCGAGCCAGCCGGCCTGGCAGTGCCCGCGGCGACCCACCTTTGGCCGCGCGCGAAGAGGAAGGAGGCATGGTGGAGGAATCGAATCGAATCGAACTCTGGGGGCATTCAGTCAGATCGTCACCTCGTGAGAAGCCTGGGCCACTCCTGGTTTCTGTGACCAGTTTATAACTTCAACAATCTGCTTGCTATCACGCCCTGAGGACCCAGCAGGGAACTTTGCAATCCTGCCGTGCTGGCAGGAATACTGCACTGGCGATCTGAGGCACTCTCGTGTGCTGACTGGAATGATGATGATGCTGGTGGTGAGGATGATGATGCTGACGACGATGATGATGCTGCTGATGCTGATGCTGATGCTGATGATGCTGGTTATGATGATGCTGCTTATGATGATGCTGCTGCTGATGATGATGAGGATGAGGATGATGATGCTGATGATGCTGATGATAGTGATGCTGATTATGATGCTGATGCTGATGATGCTGATGCTGATGATGATGCTGCTGATGATGCTGCTGCTGATGGTGATGGTGCTGATGATGCTGTTGCTGTTGCTGCTGCTGCTGCTGATTATGATGATGCTGCTGCTGCTGATGATGAGGATGAGGATGAGGAGGAGACACCACAGGAGGAGGAGGAAGAGGAGGAGGAGGAGGAGGAGGAGAGAACAGCAGGTGGAGGAGGAGGAGGAGGAGGAGGAGGATGAGGAGGAAAAAGACAGGATGACGATGAGCGTTCTCCCCAGATGGACAAGAACGGGGACGGCTTCGTTTCGCGTGCCGAGTTCGAGAACGCCGTCAACCAGGGACAGGCTGCCGTGGGATGGCCCGTCGGCTTGGGTCCTCCCATTCTTCCCCCTCTCCCTCCCTCCCCACCCGCTTCTCCTCCCTTCTTCCCCCTCCTCCTCCTCTCCCGTCCTCTCTTCCCCTCCCCTCCCCTCTCGCCCCCTACTCCCTTCCCCTCCCCTCCCCTCCACTCCACTCCCCTCCCCTCCCCTCCCCTCCCCTCCACAGTTGCACAATATGAATGCTACTCTCCTCTCTCTCCCCTGGTGACGTTCGGGAAATGGCCGGCACCCCTCCGCGCATTGGTTTTTTACACATGATTCTCAGAAAACGGGTTTTGGCTGTTTTTTTTTTTCAAATTGCTGCTCTCGCTGAGGCGCTGGCTTCATTTTCGGGTCACCGCTCGTTCCGAATCGTGCTCCCGCTGCAGCGCTGGCCTCATTTCCACGCTTCCACTCGTTCCGAATCGTGCTCCTGCTGCAGCGCTGGCGTCATTATTTGCAGCGCCATGCCACGGCATGGTTTTCGGTCCTTCCAAATATGCCCCAAAATCTAGAAACTCGCCTTCCGAAGAAACCATCGGAAGTGATTACACATTTGGTGCCGATTCGTTGATTTTAGGGTCGCAGAAGGGGCCCCCCCCCCCCCATTTTGGGGCGTTGCCACGCCATGCTATGTCCGGCTCCGCGTCCTCCGAATCGTGCTCCCGCTGCAGCATTGGCGTTATTATTTCCAGTGCCATGCCATGGCATGGTTTCGGTCCTTCAAATATGCTCCTAAATCTAGAAAATTGCCTCCCGAAGAAACCATCGGAAGTGATTACACATTCAGTGTCGATTCGTTGATTTTTTGGGCCGCAGAAGCCTCCCCCACTTTGGGGCGTCGCCACGCCATGCTATGTCATGCTACGCGTTGATCTCCAACACCGTGCTATGCCATGTAATGCTTCACCATGCTGCGACATCACATTGTGCGAATCGAGAAGGAGATATGCGCCATGGTAAGGGATGGGAGGGAGGGGTAGAGCGTCAGATATGACGCGAGCGCACCTAGCTTGCCTCCCCTCCCCTTCCCTCCCACCCCCTCCCGCTCCTCTCCCCTCCCCCTGCCCCTCCCCCCTCCCGCTCCCCTCCCCCTCCCCGCTCCCCCTCCCTTTGCCCCCTCCCCCCCCCCCCCCACCCCCTCCCTTCCCCCTTCCAGACCCGCACCGCGTGCGAACGCCCGCCTCCCCCCCCTCCCCCGACGCTGCCCCGTGCGCGGCGCCGCCCCATCCCCGCGCGTGCTCCCGCGCACGGGGGTGATCTATGGGGCTCTCTCCGCTCGGGCCGCTCTCTCCGGCCCCTCGCGGCGGTGGAGGAGGAGGAGGAGGAGGAGGAGGAGGAGGAGGAGGAGGAGGAGGAGGAGGAGGAGGAGGAGGAGGAGGCGGAGGAGGAGGAGGAGAGGAGGAGGAGGAGGAGGGAGAGGAGGAGGAGGAGGAGGAGGAGGAGGAGGAGGAGGAGGGAGAGGAGGGGGAGGAGGAGGAGGAGGAGGAGGGGGAGGGGGAGAAGGAGGAGGAGGAGGAGGAGGAGGTAGAGGAGGAGGAGGAGGAGGAGGAGGAGGAGGAGGCGCAGGCCACGCGCCTCGGCGGTGCCCGCCGTGCCTCCGCCGCTGCAAAGAGGGGGGGGGCCCCGCCCCAGCGCGCGGGGGCGCGCCCGCCGGCGGAGGCGAGGCCTGCCTCTCGCCGTGGCCGCGACCTCTCTCGCCTCTCCCCTCTCTGCCGCCTTGCCCTGGTCCGCTCGGTGCTCGCGGTCCTGCCGCTGCTCCTGCCGCTGCTCCTGCCGCTGCCGCTGCTCCTGCCGCTGCTCCTGCGGCTGCTGCTGCTCCTGCCGCTGCTGCTGCTGCTGCTGCTGCTGCTGCTGCTGCCTCGTCACCCTCTTCCTCCTGCTCCTCCTCCTGCTCATCATTGTGCTGCTGCTGCTGCTGCCGCCGCCCCTCTTCCTCCTCTTCCCATCGTCCGTAGCCATTTTGGCTCAAGGTCCTCAAGGGCGCTGTGTTGAGCGCCTCGGTTACCGTACGTCTTCCGTGCTCTTCCTGTGCAAATGGCGCCCGCCACTCTGGGAGCGCTGGTTTTGGGCGCCCTCTCCGCAGCTGCAGCCACCACAAGGGCAGAGGGAGAGGACCTCGTCGTCGAACTCGCCGAGCAGGTGCTGGCCAACAGGCAGGACATCCTGCAGATCCCCTGGGAGTTCAGCGTCGAGAGGGACGTCGGATATGTGGGCGAGCACCCCATCCTGGAAAACTCGACCACCGAGGTAAAGCCGAGTTCGCTGGTGACCGTTCGCGAGGTCCAGGACGGGCTTCCCCCGAACATCGCAGTCGGCGCGGTGGCCATCAAGGACACCGACCAGCCCGCCGCGCCTCCCGCGAGCTTCCGCACGGGAGGCACTGCCGGAGGCCTGGACTACATGCATCTGAACGGCGTGGTGAACCCGACGGCCGACTTGACCGTTTGGCAGTGGCAGAGGAACCGGTGGTTCGGTTTGAAGAAGTGGCTCGAGATGTGGATCAGCCGATACCCAGAGAAGCTGGTCGCCATACATTCGTACGGCGACGTCCTGTACGGTGGTTGCGACGAGGCCACTCTTCAGTTCAAGTACGATTCCCTCGTCGCCGCCAGCGGAAACACGACGAAGATCGTGATGGCTGCGGAGGTGTCCCCTTATCCGTCGGACATGGGCTGGGCATACCAGAGGTGGAACGAAAGCCTCGTAAACCGCACCCACTCGATACTCGACAGCTACGGCATGTCGCATGACTGGGCGGAGACTTACGCGAACTGCAGCGACAGCATCCCTCACAGCCAGTGCAGCCAGCCCCCGAGGTACCAGTATGCGAACGCGGGCTTCATCATGGGGCCCGCGAACGACGTCTTCGAGATGCTGTCCGGCCTGAGCACCTACCCTGGCCTCGACAACCGCCTGGTGAACGAGTACTTCCTCGCCCACCCCGACCTGGTGACCCTCGACTACCCCGGCACCCTCGTCCTGTCCCTGCACAACATGGTGAAGAACGGGAGCACTCCCGTCGAGGTCGTCACCACCGGCGGGAGCAAGTCCCTGAGGAACAAGGAGACGGGCCAGGCGGTGTGCTTCGTCCACGGGAACGGCAACTCGTTCGACGTCATCAGGGGGTGGGCCGAGCAGTTGACAGCGTAGGGCGCCGCTGCCGAATGTATGTCGGCGATGGCCTGCGGCATCTTAGCCTGGTGTGTTGACGCTAGATTTGAGGACGGGGCGGAAAGAACGAGGAGCCCTCTCGGGGGGGTGAGTGGGGTGGGTGGGAGGATCAGAAGAGGAAGATATGCCTAGACTGCCAAGAGGTCTGGTGAGTAGCGTTATTGGTACCTATCTGTAACCCCAGGGGACGATGCACGATAGAGAGCTCCTCCTCCTCCTCCTCCTCCTCCTTCTCCTCCTCCTCCTCCCATAGCCCTCTTTTTGTTCACGCATCACTCGATGGGGCCGCTCTTGGGATCACCCCTATGACAGCCCAGTCGGCGGACACAACCGAACTCAGCGAAGTTGGCCGGGATTGGGGGAGGGGCAGGATGTCACATGCTGCGCGAGCGCATCTAGCTTGCCCTGTCCCTCTTCTCCCTACACCTCCACCTCCGCCCCCCTCTCCACGCACGTCCCCCGCTCCCCCCTCTCCGCTTCCCCTTCCCCGTCTACCCCCCTCTCCCGCTTCTGCCCCTCTCCTGCTTTTGGTCTGCTTCTGCGACTTACAGAATAGAGCTGCAGGCAGGGGGGATCTTCTGGACCTGTGCGGGCTCCTAGGTTGTATGAAGATTTGGGCCGTGCGCTCGAGAGGGTTGCTCTGGGCAGTGAATACGATTGTTATCTGTGGTCGTAGACTCAACCAATTGTAGCAAACTTCACATCGAGTTTTTGCTGGGCGGTTGCTCGGTTTGGTGGTTGGTTTGCCCACCGTCTTGCTGGTTGGTTGGCTTTTTGGCTGGCTTGCCTCTTGGATGCTGGTTGGAAGCCTCTTGGGAGCCTCGTCGCCCTCTGGCCTTCGAGTGAGCCTCTCGGTCCTCTTGGGCGCGTCCTGGGCGCCTTTTCCGGGGCCACGCGCGCGGCGCCTCGGGGGGTCTCTCGGGCCGTCTTCGAGCCTCTCAAGCGCAAAGAGGGACGGGACGGCTGAAGCCGTTCCCGTTTCTGGGCGCCTCCCGGAGGCCGACATGGGCCAGAGGCGTCGCACCTTGTGAGCGTGCTCGCCCGTGTCGGCGTCGCCTGCCTCACCATCGAGCAGGGATGCCCGGACCTGTTCTGGGGGTGCCGAGTCGACCCCCCCGGGGGGGGGGGATGACTGCGCAACAGACGCCCACGCGGTGCGTGGATGAACACGCAAGCTGTACGGATGCCGCTCCCACGGCCAAGGGCCGCACGAGCAGGCATCAATGACAAGGGCGCCCTCGAGGGCAATGCCGAGGCCGCCGCCAAGAAGGCTGCTTCCCCTCCCCTCTTTCCTCCTCCTGCTCGTCCTCCTCCTCCTCCTCCTCCTCCTCCTCCTCCTCCTCCTCCTCCTCCTCTTGCTCGTCCTCCTCCTCCTCCTCCTCCTCCTCCTCCTCCTTCCACCTCCCCCTCCTCCTTCTCCTCCTTCTCCTCCTCCTTCTCCTCCTCCTTCTCCTTCTCTCCTCTCCTCCCCTTCCTCTCCTCCTCCTCCTCCTCCTCCTCCTCCTCCTCCTCCTCGTCCTCCTCCTCCTCCTCCTGCCGCCTCCCCGTCCGTAGCCACTGTGGCGCAAGACGGCATTTTTTTACCTGCGGCTCGAGCGAGCCTGGGCAATGTTTTGAGTCTACTGTGGTCGCCGTTCTGTTTTCGGCTACCTTCTTCAGTGCTTAGATCGGTATTTGCGATTCGTGCTGATGGATGATTCTCACGCTCACGTTTCAGTTTTGGCCGCCAAGGCGCTACGGCTTCTGTCATCGTATTTTGGCGCGCGCTAGAATGGTCTCCAAATGGCTGCGCACGCTCGTCGGCGCCTTCTGTCGACACCTTCGAGGAGAAGGCTTTGCCAGCTTGCCGTTGCGTGCCAGGTGCCTCGACACTTCACCAGGCCGTGGGCCGAGGGGTTTCTGGACCCGTCGGGTGCGGAGCTGGAAACTGCTTACCCCGACTGTGAGGTGGTGCGGCCCATCGTCGTTTCGCGGTGCGCAGGGCAAGCGCAGGGGATGGCCCTCAGGCGGTAGGCGCCTGCCTTTACACCTTCCTCCTCGACGATGGCTCCGAACACCTCCCAGTTCATCTCAGTCCCTGACATGTCGCAACGCTCCAGCTTGACCTTGGTGTACGATCGGCAGGTCGCCTCGTACAAACGGCTTCTAGAGGCTCAGGGCCCTCATTTGGCGAGCCTTCGTGGCGTCTTCGATAAACTCGGGGAGCAGCGCGGTTGCGCATCCCCATAGCTGCAGGTTCTGGTGGTACTGCCCGGCCGCCGTCGGCCATGTCGTCCAGTACCTCGCGGCGGGTGTGCACCGCGGCCGCCGCGGCAGCGCCGTCCCAGACGGCGTGGCTCCGGCCCGCTGCCGTGCCCACGCCGAGGGCGGCGTCCGTCATGCAGGCTCCGCGGAGGCCGCGTCAAGGCGGGCGGTTCAGGCGACCGCGCGACCACAGGCGGTCCCAGGCGGGGACGCTAATTTTTTTGAGATGATGCTGCGTTTCTTGATGTATCTCGCGCTGCAGATGAGCTACAGAGCTGTTCGGCACAGCAATCGAAAGAGAATCATCAGAAGCGCTAGTCCCCAGTATCTAGATGCCCGAACTCGGTCTGCTACCAGAGCTGGGTCCGAAAAACTGTCGTCGGTGGCCACCCCGGTGGCGCCGCGGGCGCGCAGCCAGCGCGCGAGCCAGTCTCGGACGCCGCTGTGGCGCGCGATCGTTCCGCCGCCAGCGTGGCATCGAAGGCAGCATCCTGGCGCGGCGGCCCAGTTGGCTCCGCAGCGCGTTCTGTCCGCCCTGGCGTGGAGGCAGGTGGCGCTGGCGTCTGGCGCGAGGCCCAGCCGCAGTCCTCCTGCTCCTGCTGCTCCTCCCCCTCCTCCTCCTCAACCTCCTCCTCCTCCTCCTCCTCCTCCTCCTCCTCCTCCCCCTCCTCCTCCTCCTCCTCCTCCTCCTCTCCTCCTTATCCTCCTCCTCCTCCTCCTCCTCCTCCTCTTTCTCCTCCTCCTCCTCCTCCCTCCTCTTCCTCCTCCTCCTCCTCCTTTTCCTCTCTCCTCTCTCCTCCCTCTCTCCGCAGACTTTTTTGGTTCAGGGAAAGGTGCCTCGCGACCCGCCGCGCAGGTGTTACCTTCGCGCGCTGGCTCTCCGGTCGCGATGGTCACCTGGAGGGCCGCCGTGCTGTTGGCCGCGGCGGGCCCCGCCGTCGCGGGCGCGTGGAAGACGGCGGTCTTGGGCGACGTGGAGCCGCACGTGCCAACCGAGCTGCCCATGCCGTGCTGGCCAGGGCCTTCCGCCGAGGATCGAGAACCAACAAATCAGTGGCAAAGTTCGGGTGGGATAGGCTCCGCGGGGATGCATCGACCCCCAGTCGCCCATTCGTCGACGAGAAGGGTCCGGTGGCCCGCCACGCCCCGGAGCGATTGCCCCTCGGGGGCCTACCCCAGACTTTCTCGGTGATGTACCGCTGATTGCGGCTTGATGTTGCCCCTCATCAGCTGGTCCCCTGGAACGTTCCGCCTCCCAGGCGGCACATGGATGATTTTGTTGACGCTTCGCGCATCGCCACCGGCCCATCCCGGGGCGGTGCCCGGACGGGTGGCCCCGACCAGGGGAGTCTGCAGGAGCATGCGGTGACACAACGAAGGGGGGATTGCAGCTGGCTTCTTAGGAGGAGGACGAGGAGGAGGAGGAGGAGGAGGAGGAGGAGGAGGAGGAGGAGGAGGAAACGGAGGATGAGGAGGAGGAGGGGGAGGAGGAGGAGGAGGAGGAGGAGGAATAATACAAATCTTATTAATGTTCGCAATACTACTGAGAATGACAGTAGTGACAGTGAGACAAAGAAGAGCACGAAAAATAAGAATGATAATACGAATAATAGTATTTAATCGCTTCGCTCATTCCGCTGGCCCGTATTGGTGCACGGCTGTCGAGTGCCCGTGTGATCGTTGTCAATGGGGTGCTGCTGGGTCGTTTTTTTGTTTATGGATGGCTGGCTTTGGGTGATTACGCAGGCGGGAACCATTCTTTGCCCGCCTGAACCTTCTGTTCCGGAAGGTGGCGGCTCGTGAATACGACCGCAGGGAACAAGACAACATTCTGCAGTTTCCTTTTTGCATTCTTTGGGCCCCTTGTCGCTTGTAGGAGCCTCTTGGGGGCCTCTTGGAGCCTCCAGGAGGCCTCTTGGAGCGGAAGGCTCGGATTTTTGGTTCGTGGTCTCCATCTTGGGCCTCTCTTGGGGCCCTCTTGGGGTCCTATTGGACCGTCTTGGGCGCCTCTTGAGCTGTCGTGGAGCTCTCTTGGACGGTCGTGGGCCTCTCTTGAAGGCCTGTTGGGCTGTTTTGGGGTGGTCTTGGAAGCTTCTTGGGCCGTCGTGGAGCGTCGGAAAGGCGAAAAGGCGAGGAAGCCAAAAACCTTGAACAACCCAATGGAAATCAATGGTTTTGGCGCTCTGAGGCTTCGTGGACGTTCATTGGGATCTCGTTAGATGCCTCTCGAGGGCTTCTTGGAGACTCTCGGGAGTCGTTGTCGAGCCTCTTGGGGTCTCTTTCGAGCCCCTTGTCGCCTTTTGGGACCTCTTGGGGGCCTCTTGGAGCCTCCAGGAAGCCTCTTGGAGCGGAAGGCTCGGATTCTCAGTTCGTGGTCTCCATGTTGGGCCCCTCTTGGGGCCCTCTTGGGGTCCTTTTGGACCGTCTTGGGCGCCTCTTGGGCTGTCGTGGGGCCCTCTTGGGCGGTCTTGGGGCTCTCTTGGAGGCCTGTTGGGCTGTTTTGGGGTGGTCTTGGAGGCTTCTTGGGCCGTCTTGGAGCGTCGGAAACGCGAAAAGGCGAGGAAGCCAAAAACCTTGAAAAACAATAATGGAAATCAATGATTTTGGCCTCTTGGGGCTCTCTTGGAAAGGGTCGGGGCTCTCTTGGGACGTCTTGGAAGCTTCTTGGGCCGTCTTGAGGCCGTGTTGGGCGTCTTGGGCCGATAGTTCGGTGATTCGGAACCCTCTTGGACCGTCTTGGAAGCATGTTGGGACCCTCTTGGCGCGCTCCGGGGAGCGTGGCAGGCCGCACCCAGGAGGAAAACCATCTCTGACCCGAGTTTGC